AGTTGCATTCTTTGCTTTTACGTCTCCTGCATGCTATGTAATTCCCCCCATTGGTTTCATTTTGTTTTGTTTGGCTGTTGTATGTTTGCACAGTTGCCATGTTGTTTCTCTGCCTCCTGCCCATGCTTAGGTGGCCGTTTCCAGGCATTCTATTTCTCCAATATTGTTGAGGGTGACTTCTTTATGTTTCCCGTTATAACGGAAGCCCATTTGTTTTCCTGACTCTGCTACGGTTTGGGGCTTGAGGAGTTTGTGTTACATCCCTTCTTCTGCGAGGCACCGTGGAGGCTGGGACAGAGTTCAGCCGTGGTCGGGTACATTCTCTATTCGCATCCCTCTTTCTTGGCATCTGCTTGTTCTTCTGAGATGTGTTAAAGATCCTCTACCAGAGACACACAACTGCTTGGGGTATGTCTACCTTTCCCTTAGGAGGTAACGTTGAGCTTTGGATAGCTTCCTACACTCAGTATGGAGCCTTTGAGCCTCCCTTTCATCTCAGAGCCAGCTTAGTGTTCCTATGCTTCCATTTTCTCTCCAAAAGTTGTTCAGGTCCTCCTCAGACTGAAGAGAAGAAAGGTAAGCGCTCCCATTCAGTTTGTTTCTCCCTGTATTTGGTGGATTTAATGAGACATCTCAGGGTTCTATGGCCTCCGCAGTCCTGTTTCTGGGAGTTAGGGGTACGATAAAGATATTTTTCTTATGTACCTTTCTACCTTGACCCAGAATCTCCTCCAAAGTTTGGATTTCAAATATAGAACCTCCATCAAGTTCATTTAAAGAAATTTACTTTTTTCCTATTACCATTGCCAAATGCCTAATTTTACTTTATCTGTTACCTTTGGTGTTTGGAAAAACTCAAACCGTGTTTTTCCTTTGTTCCCTCATTACAACAACAATCAACACAGAGGACTTCCGTGAAAGCAGGGGTTGCCTGCTGGGCGTCCTCTAATTCAATTCGATTCTGATGCTATCTACCTGGAGACAGCCTCAGATTGCAGAGGTTGAGGGCTCAGTCCCCAAGACTGCCCACTCATTCCCACCAGTTGCAAGTTGCAAGGCCTACTTCTGGAACTTCTGACTGACTAGCTTCAAGTTGGGGTTCCCACGACCTCCTCTTTGAGTTCAATTAATTTGCTAGAGCAGCTCACTGAAGTCAGGGAAATACATTTACTGGTTTATTATAAAGGACATTACAAAGGATACAGACGAAAAGATGCACAGAGCAAAGTATGGGGGAAGGGGTGAGGAGCTTCCATGCCCTCCCCTGGGCACCACCCTCCAGGAAACTTCCTCACATGGTCAGCTGTCTGGAAGCTCTCGGAACTCTGTCCTCTTGGGCCTTTTATGGAGACTTCATTGGACAGGCATGATTGAACCAAGGACAACCGTGTGGAAATGTGATTAAGCCTCTTTGTGCAGCATTCCTTCCTCTAGGGTGTGGGACAGGGACCTCTCTAGAGCAGGGTCTTATAACTCACAATCAGAAAGGTGGGGTAAGATTAGAATCCTGCCTTGGGCTGGTAAAAGGAGAGCAGGAGAAGGTCAGAGAGAGAGAGAGAGAGAGAGAGATTGATTCTGTTTTATGAGGCCTGCTTTTGAGACCTAAAGCGCCCCAGCCTTATAACAAAAGAGTTATTGCCAGGTGTGGTGGCTCATGCCTATAAGCCTAATCCTAGCACTCTGGGAGGATTGCTTGAGCTCAGGAGTTCGAGAGCAGCGTGAGCAAGTGCAAGACCTCATCTCTACAAAAAATAGAAAAATTAGGGGGGCGGGTGCAGTGGCAGGTGCTTATAGTCCCAGCTACTCGGGAGGCTGAGGCAAGAGGATCCTCAAGCCCAGGAGTTGGAGGTTGCACTGAGCTATGATGACGCCACTGCACTCTAGCATGGGTGACAGAGCAAGACTCTGTCTTAAAAAAAAAAAAAAGACACGAGTTATGAGCCAGGAACTGTGAACAAAAACCAATATATACATCTATCATAATATTACACTAGGCAAGTGACTTTCCATTTCTGTACCCCTGTGGTGTTAGGTCTTTGACATTATATGTCTCCCTTATTTGTTCTGCTACTACCCTAGAAATGGGAGAATTTTTAGAAATTCCTTGGTTTTTTTTGGTAGAAACTCCCAGACCGGGTCCGAACTGAAAATGGGCCCTTTATTGGGTTAGAAACATGGATGTTGTTACAATTCCTGGCTGTGAATGCTCATAGTTCTGCTGTTGAGCCATTTGTGCAATAAGTTCTATGGGACATACTCCTCCTCTTTTAGTTTATTCCTCTTTTTTCTCCTGTTGCTACTTACAACTTCCCTGCCAACTATCTATATTTTGCCATTAAGCTTATATAAGTTTATATAATGTTGGTGACTTTAAAGTTTTCTTGTGTTACCTTTGGGCATTTGGCTGAAAGGCACTGATTCCATTTTACAAGTGGATATATTATAGCACGAATCCAGAGACTGCTGGTAATTGGAAACAAAATGCTTATGCCTCAGCAGCAGTATGTACAAGAAAATGTTAATTTTTAGGGTAAAAATTTCCTTAGCAATTGTCTTTGGGTATGAATATGATATTAGTTAACATTTATGAATGTTTTTAAAGGAAACAAACGATTACCACTAAAAAGAGATTCTTTGGCTGGACTCGGTGGCTCACACCTGTAATCCTAGCACTCTGGGAGGCCGAGGCAGGAGGATCGCTTGGGGTCAGAAGTTCGAGACCAGTCTGAGCAAGAGCGAGATCCTGTCTCTACTAAAAAATAGAAAAAATTAGCCAGGCGTGGTAGTGTGCACCTGTAATCCCAGCTACTCGGGAGGCTGAGACAGGAGGATCGCTTGAGCCCAGGAGTTTGAGGTTGCTGTGAGCCAGGCTGACACCACGACACTCTAGCGCAGGTGACACAGCGAGGGTCTTGCTCTGTTGCTTGGGCAACAGCCGGCATAAAAAGGCCCAAGAGAACAGAGTTCTGAGAGCTTCCAGTAGCATCATCATAGGTCATTGCAACCTCAAACTCCTGGGCTCAAGCCATCCTCCTACCTCAGCCTCCCAAGTAGATGGAATTACAGGTGTGTACCACCTGGCTGTTTTGGTTATTTTTTTAATTTTTTGTAGAGATGAGTATCTCACTTTGTTGCCCATGCTGGTCTCAAACTCCTGGCCTCAAGCTATCCTCCTGCCTCAGCCTTCCAAAGTGCTGAGATTACAGGGATGAGCCACACTGCACCCAGCCTAAAATAAAATTCTTACTGAAACCATCTCCATTTCATTCCTATGTTTTTAAAGTACCTCACTCTGTATCTTTGTTTTCATGAGTTACATGCATGCAAGGCCATCCTTTGAATGTTGTCTTCAACTATGCTTGAATTAGTTTGACACCCAGCAGATAAATCTGACCAGGAGGTATCAGTGGATAGTATGCAGTGTAGATAGAGGAAAAAAACATTGCATGTCCTTGCTGGTAGCAAAATATTTACAATAAAGAGGAGAATGACAAATAGCCTTTTTCCAAGGAATGAAATATGAATTTCTTGATTTATATAATTTGGTATTTAATATACATGGGAATTCAAAAATTATCTTTGCAAAACCCCATTGATAAAAATATTTCTTCTATTTTAGACTAAAAGTGCCTACAAGGCCAGATATATTTCTTTCCTGAATGTTTAGAACAGGAATATGTCTGTAGCAGACATCCACTAAGTACTAATTACTAATTATTAATATAATGACCAAACTTATTAGTGTAGAATAATTCCAGGGGCTTTCCTATTAGTTTTCCTGATCCTAAGCCTATTAATAACTGCTACCTGCTTATATGTTAGAAATAAGGACATTAGTTTTTTTTTTCTTAAGAGACAGGGACCTTTGTCCAGGCCGGAGTGTAGTGGCCCTGTCATAGCTCACTGCAATCTTGAATTCCTGGGTTCAAGCGATCCTCCTGCCTCAGCCTCCGGAGTAGCTAGGACTACAGGTGCGTGCCGCTACGCTCGGCTAATTTTTTCTATTTTAATAGTAGTAGAGATGGGGTCTCGCTCTTGCTTAGGATGGTTTCAACTCCTGACCTCAAGCTATCTTCCCTCCTCAGCCTCCCAGAGTGCTAGGATTACAGGAGTGAGCCACCGGAGAGGCCAAAGGGTCCATTTTTTAATCTCAAAAAAAACAGTCAAAGCAGATGTCACTGGTTAATAGTCCAGTTGATCAATAGCATTTCACAATTTGTACCAACATCTGGGGAAAGGGGCTTTGCTTTGCACGTCACTTTAAAACGATCGAGCACCGAATTTTCACAATTGCATTTCTAGAAAACGCAAATGGGTTTTAAATGAAAGCTTTTACCTTTTCTTTGCTTATAAATCAATTTTTCCAGGGTCAAAGTTCTGGCCACCACAAATGCTATCCTTCTAGATATAGGGACTCGCATAAGGGTCCACTCGATGTAACACTTGTCCTGACAGCGGTGCCACCTGATTCATAGGTCGCCAGTTGGACATATTTTTAACTAACAAAGCAAGAGTTATTCTCTTGCCTTAAATGCTTAAGAGTTGGTTTCCTCATCAAGGGCTTAACCCGGGCAAGACCACCTGTTTGCTGGTCTTTCAGGGCGAGGGGACCAGGAGCACTTCTGATGCAGCGCCCTCTCCGCCTGGGGGGAGGGCTGACCGGGCGCTAAGACCGCTTCTGGCGTCGCCGAGCTTCCAGCTCTTGGACGCCTGACTCTTTTCGGATTCGTTTCATCCCGCAGTAACTGGAGGAGTCCAACCCGCTCCTGGGGCCCGGCGCGGGAGGCGTGGTGGGCGCCTCGGCCCAGGTCCCCCCACCTTTCCTCCCGGCGCCCGGCGGGGCCGCCGCCCCTGCTTGGGGGCACCCCCGGAGGGCAGGGCGCGGGGGCGGGGCGAGCGCCGTGACGCGAACCGGCGCCGGCCAATGGGAACGCCCCGTGGCGCCGGCCGAGGCTCCGGGCCCTATAAAGGAGGCGCGCTGGGCTTTCCGGCCCGCAGCGGCCCCTGGCAGGGAACGTGACTTCGGCCGGTCGTCCACCTTCCCCAGGTGACTCCAGACACTACCCTTCGTCCGCGGCCGCCGGGAAGTTTAGTCGCAGCCCCTGAAGTTTCCCAGGGTCCTTCTTGAGCGGCAGCGGCGGGCGCATGGAGGACGGACCAGTGCGAGCGCAGGCGGAAAAGCCGCGGGGCGCCAGGTGCAGCAATGGGTTCCCCGAGCGGGAGCCGCCGCGGCCCGGGCCCAGCCGGCCAGCGGAGAAGTCCCCACGGCCCGAGGCCAAGAGCGCCCAGCCCGCGGACAGCTGGAAGGGCGAGCGGACCCGCAGCGAGGAAGATAACGAGCTGAACCTCCCTAACTTGGCGGCCGCCTACTCGTCCATCCTGCGCTCGCTGGGCGAGGACCCCCAGCGGCAAGGGCTGCTCAAGACGCCCTGGAGGGCGGCCACGGCCATGCAGTTCTTCACCAAGGGCTACCAGGAGACCATCTCAGGTCAGTGTGCCCGCCCGCTGCTCGGGCGTGTGGGGCGCGGGGGAGGTGCCTGCGGGAAGCGCGCGACAGCCCCGGGAAGTTCCCGGAGTTGCCTCACTCTTGGCGAAGGGAGCCGAGTGCTGCCACTTCCGAACCCCGCCCTCGGCCCTAGCCCACAGCCTCGTCTGGGCAAGGGCCGTGCGTGGGGCGCAGTTTGGGCGCCCTGAGTGGCAGCGACCTCTGCACTCAGGGACCTGCTGCAGCCGCCCTCGCTGGGTCCTCCCGGCTCCCAGCACGCTCTTCTCGAGCGTCCGGGGCTCGCATGGATGGGACCGCGGTCACTGAACTCTCCAGAGGGCGGGACCCTGGAGTCCCTCTCGCCCGAGCGCCCAGGGAGGGATGCTCGAGGCACGGGCGGCTCCAAACTTGCCCACGATGAGGATCACCTGCGCGCTTGTTTCAGTGACGCTTCCTGGGTCGTCCCTTCTGTTGAGATCCTAGTTTTGGGTATGTCTGGGTTGAAGCTGTGGGGCGATCCTTCGCTGCAAAGGAGGGGACCCGCACTCTCACTGACTTGCCCGGGGACCGGCGTCCCCAGAGAGTTGTAATTCTCTTTTGTCCACCTTAAGGTCACTCTAGCTCAGGACATTTCCGAGATTTGGCACAGTTCTGGGAGTTCGAGATGTGAAGTTTCTTGGGCTAATTTGCTGGTTAAAACCTTCTTCCCAGCCGGGTGTGGTAGCGTGGGCCTGTAATCTCAGCTACCCGGGAGGCTGAGGCGGGAGGATCTCTTGAGTCCAGGAGTTCGAGGCCGCAGTGAGCTATGATTGGACCACTGCACACCAGCCTGGGCGGCGACAGAGAGCAAAACCCCATCTCTTTAATAAAAAACAAAAACAAAACTCTCTTCCTTCACCCTACCCCTACCTCGACTCCATCCTCGGCCCCCAAGCAACAAAGCGACCCCGGCTGCTGCTCAGGGGGGCCAGGAGGAGTTAGGGAGCCTCGTTGGGTTCTGGGACTCAGAGTCACCGCGCTCCCTCCACTTCCCAAAAAAGCCAGCTTCACCCAGTGCTGTCTGTGCCAGAGTCGTGTCCAGCTTTCACCCTGTGGGTGAGGGAAGCAGTGTGGGTAGGATGCAGAGGCAGGATGAAGAGAGAGTGGAAAATGACAAGACTTTGCTGCCTGTTTGCCATGGGAACGGTGTTAGATTTTATTTAAATAAATAAAAGCTCTGGCTTCTACATCTTGGGCCAAAGACATTGTTTTCTAATCTCTTCTGTGTGTCTTTGTGACATTTATTTCTTTGGCCTAAGAAGCCTTCTGCCTTCACTGTTTCTGAAAGAAAAACTGTGCTACCTGGAAAGGTAACCTTCCTGCCCCTGTTATTGCCCTGAAGGAGTGTGGAGCCATCCACCAAATAGACTCTGGGAAGAACAAAGTTATTTTTGCCCAGTCTTCCACACTCCAAAGGAAGGGTGTGAGAGGGTCGGAGGCCAAAAAGGAAATGATACTACATCCTAAAGACAAGAAATGGACTTCTAGTTCTGTGTCCAGGTTCACTTTTTTTTACCCCTTGATCAAAAACGTTTGCAGCCTCAGAAGCAGTTTCAAAATGCAGACTGAAGAACAGACATTCAGGTTTTCTGTGGGTTCAACTTTTTGGAGGTTTTGGGGTTTTGGTTTTTTTTTTTTCCTTCTTTTTTTTTCCGTTTTCTTTTTGGTGATATTCCACCATGTGATGAAAAAACATCTTAAGGCCTTGCTCATTCTGCATCTTACATACATAGATGGTCTACTCCACAGTGCCAGGCAGGCTGGGAATCCTACCATTAGAAAATTCACAGGAGAGTGTTCTATAGCTTAGCATGGGTCTAATTACTGAAAGGGAGAGGGATTTCTGACCCTAAGGTCACAGAATTGTCTAAAGTGACTCACAGGTTTACTTGAACAATGGTTAGCAGAAGTTTGCCTTGAGCCAAGATTCACCTAAAGAGGACCAGTGATTCCAAAGAATGCTTCATTCTACCTTAGAAAATTGTTCCAGTCAAGTGTTAATTCATTATTTAAAAAGTCCTTGGACCTAGAGACAGAAAGCACATGAGTATTTGTCAGGGGCTGGGAAGCAAGAGAGGAATGGAGAGTGACTGCTTAATGGGTATGGGGTTTCCTTTTGGTGTGATGAAAATGTTCTGGGACTAGAGAGTGTTGGTAGTTGCACAACATTGTGAATGCCACTGAAGATGGCTAAAATGATGAATTTTATGTGTATTTTACCGCAGTGTAAAGTTGGGCACAGTGGCACATGCCTATAGTCCCAGCTACTTGGGAGACTGAGGTGGGAGGATCGCTTGAGCCCAGGAGTTTGAGACTAGCCCAGGCAACATAGTGAGACTCCATCACACACACAAAAATGTCCATGGACCATTTGTGATTATTATTAATATAAGCCATTTATTGATTATTGTCATGTGCCACATAAGGATATTTCTTTCAATGATGGACCACATATACAAAGGTATAATCCCATAAGATTATAATGGAGCTAGGTCAGGTGCAGTGGCTCATACCTATAATCCCAGCATTTTTGGGAGGCCGAAGTGAGAGGATCACCTGAGGCTAGGAGTTCAAGACTAGCCTGAGCAACATAGCAAGATCTCGTCTCTACAAAAAATAGAAAAATTAGCCGGGCATGGTGGTACACGCCTGTAGTCCCAGCTACTTGAGAGGCTGAGGCAGAAGGATTGCTTGAACCCAGGAGTTTGAGGTTGCTGTGAGCTACACTGACTCCACTACACTCCAGCATGGGCAACAAAGTAAGACCCTGTTCCAAAAAAAAACCTATAATGTAGCTGAAAAATTACTATTGCCTAGTGACATCTTGATGATCCTGATCCTGTGTAGACCTGGGCTTATGTGTGTGTTTCTGTCTTAGTTTTTAACAAAAAAGTTTAAAACTTAAAAAGAAATTTAGAAAAAAGCTTGTGGAATAAAGACAGAAAATATTTTTGTGCAGTTGTACAATATGTTTGTTTAAAAAAGTTTATAAAGTAAAAAAGTTACAGTAAACTAAGTTTAATTTATTATCGAAGAAATAATTGTTTGCAAGTTTAGTGTAGCCTAAGTGTACAGTATTTATAAAGTCTACAGTAGTGTATAGTAAAGT